CGGAGCGGAGCGGAGCTGCTGCCCTGCCCCATCGTCGAACAGCGAATGAAAAGCAGCGTCTCGTGTAAGTCGTGCAGACGCGGAACGCGGACCTCGCTCGTCAGAACTTTTAGTTGCGTCAGCCGAGGTGGCGACAGCGGTCACGTGTGATCGAAGCTCCCGGGTAAGCCGGCTGGTAGTCTAGACTATTCTGGTCTGGCTCCGGCATCCTCCGCGCTCTCGTGACTGCAACAGCTCGCCCGCTGCGCGCCCACCTTTAGCGCAGGTGTGCATCAGGACATGCAGCATCATTTTGATTTAAGGCTTCACAGCCACCCAAGCACGCGCCATCTCGATGCGCGATGACGAGCGGTTCAGCGGTGTACTGTAGCCGCCGTGGCAAAGGTCGCTTATCAAACACAGCAGCAGCAGGCTACTCGTCGCGAATGTAGAAAGCCTCCTGAAAGAGGCGGGGTGCGAGCGAAACACCATTCGCACTTGTGCTCTATAGCAGGCTCTCAGCCCCAGCTCGATGGAGTCATGAGTCGCGAGAGGTAATGAATTGGCGGCGCGCATTGCTATAGGAAATCACGAAAGGGTGGAACATGCGGGCACTACAGTACACGTACGCAGCCGCAATTCATGATTGCAAGTGAAACGCACGCACAGTGGTGAGTGGTGCATTCACGATTCATGATTCATGCCCTCCACGTGCACTCACTCGAATTGACCCGCTGCACGCATAGCATACCCTTGCGCCACCTTGCGTTAAAGTCCTTGTAAAGCTACGAGTCACGAGTGCAAGTCAGGTCTATCGATGTATAGCGTACCGAACCGCAGGTGTGCAGCGGAGTCACGAGTGCTGCATACAATCACGAATTGAGCGCATCCACACGAGTCGTCGAGTCGTGCGACGGAAGCTTTTGGCTGGTTGTGGGGTGATGTGCCTGATGGCAGCCCACTGACGAGCGCCGCAGGTACCCGCAATTCCCACGAGCAGCTCCGCCAAGGCTGCCGTGGGCTGTATAAAGCACCTCACTTGCGGACAGATACCTCTATACTTTCCTTCACAGATCTCCGTGGCTGGCCAACACTTAGCCACAACTCTCAACTACGGACACTCGTACCTGCTGCTCAGGTACACAACACACAATGAGTGGCAAATCTACCGGGACCCGCCCAGGCAGTGCTGCCGGGTTGCAATCGCCTCCTCCTAGCGACAACGAGAGCCCACCGCTGTATGCTGGCAGTCATCTCGCTAATGATCCAAGACTGCCACCAACAGCCGGGCAGGTCATCACCCCTCCCTCGACGCCACCGACATCCGAAAAGGATATCAACAAGCACGGTCGAGCAGCGTCCATCTCCTCGACGTCGAGCACGAGCACCAAGGCTTCTTCGTCGTACTACGCGCACGCTTCCAAGAAAGGTCTCAAGTTCAATGGCGTCACCGTCGAGGATGTCGAAGAAGCAGCCGAGACCGACTCCAACCTGTACAGCATCGGCACCAGACGCAATGTCCATCCTTTCGTGGAGCTGGACGAAGTGCGAGCTCATCTGAAGCTGCTGCACGCCTTTGACGTGCTGCGCGAGAGCGTCTACCAAGCTGCAAAAGACGAGGCCAGCGCTCCCGCTCCTGCGCACGACGACCAACGGCTTCCCGAATATGCTAGAACGGAGACTCCACCCCCCGGTCACAACGAAGATCCAGGCTTCGATGCGACGTGCCAAAAGGCTTGGAGCACTTACCTCGTCCATGCAGTACACCGCTTCGAGCTCTGGCTCTCTCACATTCTTACCGAATTCAACGCGCGCCACATCCACTCTTCTCCAGACCTGGGAGAGGTGAGCGTTCCGTGCAGGAAGCCTTCGAACATCATGGAGATGCCGCAGCAATGCATGCCGCCCATCGATGTAGCGATGATCTATCACAGCTACTGCCTTAACCCCGGTTGCTTCTTCGATGATCTACTCAGGCTCAAGAGCAGAACCGCACTTGCCAGCTACGACTTTCCTGTCAAACAGTTGGCCGAGAACATCATCATCGATGGAGTCTCGGTCAGGTTCGCCAACGCGCCAGCTGAGCGACTGTGGTCCACAACCATCACTCAAGAGCCGTGGTCGTCTCCACTGACGACGCCCAAGTTTGACGCAAACCAGGACTCTCAGACGTCCCTGTACGGCAAGCATATTCCGTGCTGGCGTCAATTCTGCAAGGCAACCACCTTTGTCCCATGGCGCCGATCAGACGGACAACCTAGTCTGGGAGAATCAGCCATCCCATCTCAAGACCCTTCCAAAGCTTGGTCAACGCCATGTCAGAAATGTGGAGCGACGTTGAACAGCGACCGCTGCAATGGCAAGGCTTTTGCTCAGGATTTGTCACAATGGTGCAGATCGGAAAATTTCCGCACTCGAGGTCTCACATTCTCACCCCGCGATGGCGGTCTCTTCTCCCACGATCTCGCCGAGCCTATCTTTGTCCAGCTCTTCGAGCACTCGCCCTATCGAACGCTCGATCTGGCCCTGGCGAGGGCGAATGCGCGAACGAAGGGCAAGGTGGGCCAGCAATTGCAGCAAGATCCCATGAGATGGGCTTTCGATCAGACGCGATCGGGGTCGATGAAGACCATGGCAGAAGACATTGCTACCACTATCATGGCCCTCAAGACACATTCCCTGCGATCGCGCTCGGCGGAAGCCCTGTTCAAGAGACGGATTGGCTTCGTGCTGAAGAACTACGTCGAGGCGGAAGCTGCTGTTGGACGAGGATCTGTGGATCTCGCCAAGGCTGTGCAGAGGCAATTCAGCTTTGTCGGGGAGATGAAGAGATTAGGCTGGAGCGATCCTCGAGCTTTGGCCGAAGGCACCGAAGAGGCGAGCTATGCGCGCGCGATAGTTAGGTATCACTCCTGGCAAGCTTTGATGGCCACCGAGAAGCAGATGCTGGTGCCTACGCTCGACATCGACCTGATCTGGCACACACACCAACTCAAGCGGAGCTACGCGTACGACATGATGCGCAATGTGGGTCGCTTCATCGATCATGACGATAAGGTTGAAGAAGGCGCTCTGTCGGACGCGTTCGAACAGACCAGCCAGCTTTGGTTCAAGAGGTACAAGCAACCTTACTCTACTTGCGGATGCTACAAGCCGCCCGAGAGTATGGTAAGGCAATTTGGAAGCTTCTTCAAAGGTACCGGCTCGCTCAAGCAGCGCATGAAAGCTTCAAAGCCTCTGAGGCCTGGCGACATGCCCGAAGGTGCGTGGAACTCAGAAGTTGGTCTCCGCTTCTACATGCGCAAAGCTGACCTTGCTGTTCTTTGCTCTTACAGACGCCTTCGACGATGCGCTACACCCCTCCACCCACAACAGCGTGGTAATCAGACCTGCAGAGGGAACAGTCCTCGATGCTGATGCTGCGGGATCGTACGCGGTTACAAGGCAGAGGGCACAGCAAAGGCGCAACGATGCACAGAAGGCTGAAGATGATGGCGATAGGCGCAGAGGTCACGATGCAGCCTTTGTGTGAGTAGCTTTATCCCCCTCATCCTCGTGTCGACTTAGTACACTCTCATGCACGACTACTCGCCGCTGACATTGATACTGTTTGTCACTCATGGCGCTTTAGTTATGGAGCAGGATACGTACCTCTGTACCCCTACGTCGTTGTGCCGGGCTACTATGGAGGAGCAGGCATGTGCGCCGGGGGAAGCACGGGTTCGGCTGGCTGTTGCGGCAACACTGCTGGGGCTAGCTGCGCCGCAGGCAGTGGGTGCGGAAGTGCAGCGAGCGGAGGCTGTGGTGGAGGCGGAGGTGGTGGCGGATGTGGAGGGGGCGGTGGGTGCGGCGGTGGAGGGGGCGGTGGGTGTGGCGGTGGAGGAGGTGGATGTTAGGAGCGCCCATTAAGCTGCTCAACCTCCAAAAATTGCCTACCCACTCTCGCGCGCCTCCAGGATGATCTCTATGCAGGTCTCGGTGACCTTTTACCGGCTGCGAATCGCTCTTGTATCAAGTAACTTGTCTGCAATTCTCATACCCAGTGATAGCGATTGAAAAAGCAAGTACGCCGTACAAGTCACGCTCAAGTTAGTTTCATCCGTACTGACAGCCTGCTACGCGCCCAGCGAGATCAGATTGATCAGGTCATTCTTGACTGAGAATTCGAAGTACATGTTGATTCGCATCGCAACGCTTACAGACGCGTCTGGAAACGAGAAGAAAGAGTCTCTTGAGGTTTTGATCCATCTTCCAGGGCTTGTCAGTCTCACCAAACGTTGCTGTATCCTCCGGTATAGAAGCCGCGGCTTTGAGGGGCTGCAGCGCCCGCACCCCTGCCCATCGCTCCGCGACCCTGCCCTGCGTGTCCGTTCAAGGACGGCAGACTTGCTTGATGTCCCATCTGTCCAGGCGTCGCTGACTGTGGAGCGCGACTACCGTAGCCGCGAGAACCAGATCCTGGCCCATAGCTGCCGCGACCCATCGGCCCTCCTCTGAATGCTGGTGAGGTCGGCACGCTCGCCGAGGACCAGCCATTGCTCGCATTGCCATTCGATACGCCTGAACCAGCCGCGAGATGACCAGCCGTGCCCGCCTGGGGTGAGTGAAAGGGTTGTGGCAAGGCCTGATAGCCCATCTGCTGCGCGTATCCGTGCGGAACTGTGGATCCCCATCCAACAACTCCGCGCGGCGCCGAAGGTGCCCCTTTTGCACCATCGACCACGCTGGAAGGGGACGTCTCGGGATATCCTCCAAAGTTATATGCAGGTTGGTAATTGCTGTAGGCACGACCATTGAACGCCGCTGGCTGCGCCGACAGCGCTTGGCGCGGATATGCGTTTGCCTGACTCCACGCTTGGGTGTTGTAGGCCTCAGGTTGGTACGGCTGCTGGTGCCCAAACGGGATGAATGGCTGATTCTTCCTGGAGCTAGAAGCGGCATCATCATTAGCCTTGCCAGCTGCACCACGGACATCTGCATCTGGAGCCGATGACGTCTGAGCGCTGTCGACGGGGCTGGTGCCGAGGTTCAAGCCAGCAAGAGTTCCATTGGCATGTCCATGGTGAGAACGGCGCTCGTCTCCATGCCGCTGTTGCTGCGAAGCACTTGGCGACGTCTGATTGTTTGCCGAGGAGGATCCAGCACCAAGGCCACCCAAAGAAACGACAGGCCCGTCGCTATCACCAGCACCGAGGTCATGTATACTCGTTGGCATCGACAAGAAGTCATCGGCAATACCTCTGAGAGAATTCTGCGCTGGGTGCGAGGCAGTGCGCGCACGTAGATCTGGCGTAGCCCACAGGCTCTCGAGATGGGACGGCGAAGCGCCACCATTTGCCGCCGTGTTGGGCAAACCTGATAGATTGAGCGAGCTTCCGCCCCAAGTGGCAGAGCTGAGCTGGCCGGGAGAAGGCAAGATAGGCGTCTGCGCAGCGGTCAAGTCATATTGGTCAGCACCCGCCAGCTAGTCTCGCGCGATCCCGCAAGTAGACTCACTTGCATTGCACCGCGCTTGTCCGCCGCGCGGTTCGCCGGGGGAGCATACCCATCGCCGTTGAGCTCCAGCTCGCTAGCAACCACAAAGCTGGGTGACCGCGATCCTGGTTCCGTGTGGCCCAAGTTGGCGCTGCGAGCGAAAGCAACGCCTGCTCCAGAATCTCGCCGACCCTTCCCAGCGAAATTTGGAGGTCCGGCGCCAATCAAGGGCCGTTTTGAATAGCCCATGCCCGATGACTCGGCCCAGTCCAAGGGTCCGCCCTGTCCTCGTGGTGCTGTGCCGGAGAATCCTCGTGCTCGCATAGAGGCGGGAGCAGTGGGCACGGAGGCGGGAGAGGATCCTGACACTGGGACGGAGACATCATAGCTTTGTGCATTGGACCTGCCCAGAGATGGCTGGATGTTGGCAGAGCGATTTCCTCGCGGAAGCTTGACGGTAGGCTTGACGTCAAACATATCGGCCTCAAGAGCAGGGTGAAGCTCCTCACGAACTGAGGTAGGGTGCAAAGGTTCTGCAATGTGTCCGTACACCATTGGCTGACGCTGCGTGGCCCAACCATGTGCACTTGCTCGAGGCAGAGCAACATGCGCTGGTGGCACGTTCGGGGCGGTAGCTGAGGTTCTCGGGAAGACCCGTGGTGGTAAGTTTCTTGGCAGCACGCGTGTCGGCATCGAGACGTTTGCGAGCAGGACTCCCTTGCGGTACTTCTTGGGATGGAATTGATCATAGATCGAAAGCGTTTTCATCGGCAAACCTGGAGCGGATGGGGTCCAAGACAGGATGTCTACACCGGAGCTGGAATTAGCTGCTGCCTGAAAAGCAGCAATGCGCTGCTTCTGAGCCCGGAAGGCAGGACCATTCAAGCGAGCTGGTCGAAGGCGAGGCGCGGGCATCTTGACCACAAAACGATTCCACACGGGAACAGAGTCCTGCGGCACCTCTGTTCTGGTCGCGACAGGCTCGGGGAGGCGAGGTCGCGCAGGTTGCCGGAGTGCACTCGCGAGCGGCTGCGTCGCACTGCTCGCAGGTGGTCGGGCGTCGTGACGCTGAGTCTGCAAGCGCGCACTTGCATTCTCATCTGTTGGAGCGATGATCGCTACCCGAGGTGCCGGTGGTGCGACAACCTTGGAGCCTTCTGGTAAATTGGCGACATCGTTTCGCAAGGCGCGCGGACCAGCAGGAGGAGCTGCGTTGGCGGGCACAGCATCTGCTTGAGCTTGCTTGGCACCGGCCTCTCGCCTCTGTGCTTGCTTTTCAGCTCGTTTGCTCTGTCTAGCAGAGGATGAAGGGTCGCTCGTTGTTGCTTGTGGTCGGTCCAAAGAGGCTTTGGTGGGGGACACGGCATCTGACGCCAACTGTTCTGCGCGCATGCTAGGCGCAGAGCTGGGCGCAGAGGACTGAGATGTCGGAGGTCGTTGCAATAACGTCCTGGGCCTCGACTGCCGCGTGGGGGATGGCTCATCTTTGGAGAGTGTGCGTCGCGCATTGCTAACGATAGCATCACTCTGAGCGAGAGGTGCCGCTCTGCGCCAAGACGTTGCCTCCTCGCTGGGAGAAATCAAAAGTTGGCTCGAGGGACCCTGACGGGTGGAAATTGCTTCAGGTAGTGCGCCTGGAGACGGTCTTCCGTGTGACTTCCGAATCTCAGATGACTTCGCTTGGGTATCCTGCTTCGCAACCTTGAGCGCGGCCTCGTGTGCTTCAGCAGCTTGTTTGCGGGCTGCAAGCATGCGAGCATCCTGAGCAGCGATCCGAGCGGCTTGTTCTGCTCTCAGCTTCGCTTCCTTCGCTGCGTCCTCAATCTCTCTAACACGCCGAGCTTCCTCGATTTGAAGCTCAAGCGCCTTGGCTTTCTCGAGGGCGCGCGCTTTCTCGCGCTCGCGTTCCGCTTCTTCCTCGGCTCGTCGTCGCCGAGCGCGCTCAGCTCTCTCTGCCGGCGAGACCGTCTCGGTCGCTGCTGCGGTGGCTCGAGAAGGCGCCGCTTGCGTAGACTCCACGACGGGAAGCTCTGTCCGCTGTGCAGAGGGCGAACCCACCCTCCGTGCCAGAGGCCCCCAACCGAGCGCTTTGGAAGCTACGGGAGGTTGTGGCTCACTGGCATTTGCTCCATAAGGACGCTCCTCCGGGGGGGCTGCCAAGCGGTCAGCAGCAGTATGCAGGCCAGCTGCCATATGCGGCGGGAGGGGTCGTTCAGAAGTTCGCGCATTTGGTTTGGAAGTCGGTAGCGGCGCACGCTCTTTGGCCGGCAAAGGCCGCTCGTGCGGAGAAGTAGGCGAGCGCGGATCCGATCTCGTGGATGTTACTGAGGGCTCACGGCGTGGAGCATCAGAATCCAAGTTCTGCGTTCTTCGAGCGAGCGGACCCCAAGCGCGAGCAGCTGAGAGAGTCGCATCAGGATGAGCGTGTGCGCCTCCCGGTCCGCTAGCTGGACGACCGGAACGCGAGGAATTCCAATCCGATTCGCGCCTATCTCTGGGCATCAGCTCTACACTAGCGCTGTCGCCTTCGTCCGCAAATGCGGAAACAGACGACCTCCCGGCGCGCTGAGGGAATAAGGATTTGGACGCGACCTCAGGCGCGTAGTCAGCTAATCTCTGTTGAGGTGCTGGCTTGCGAAAAGATGGAATGGGCTGATCTGTAGGATTGGAGCTGGCGGCAGAGTGGGCCAAGCGCTGCATAGGTGGCGGTGGCCAGGACCGATCGTGTGTTTGATCTCGAAATCGATCCTCCTTTGTCACTGGCCGAGCATCCTTCTGAAGCTCCGCAAGCGAAGGCTGTGGCACTTTGTATTGCGTCCCGTCTCCGAATTCGACGACTTCGTCCAGAAATCCGCCGTCTTCATCGACCATTTCGTCCCAATGCCGGCCGCTGCCCAGGTTTGCCCCTCTAAAGCGATCCAGATCTGTGCGGGCACTTGCAAGTCCATCGTGTTCGTCGGCAGCCTCCTTTACATTTTGCGCCTCGGCTGCTGTTGGGAAATCCGACGATGCTATTCGCTCACTGGAGGGTGCTCTTGCACCGCTGCTTGATGCATTCTTGCTAGTTGCCCATGGAGCAACAGATTTTGGAGCTCCACTGGTCGCGTCGTTAGCGCTACTTCTCAACGCGGCATTTCTGAGCGATGGAGATGCGCTCGCGTCCGTTCGCGCAGGACTGCCCGATCGAGCTCCGCCCAAGGCAGTCAGTCGAGGAGAAGAGAGGTGAGTCGACCTGACTACATTGCTGTGCAGCAGAGCAGGCGAGGGTGCGCTCGCGGGCTGAGACGAGGCTTCGGCTGCCGAGGGAGCAGATGACGGCTGCACAGAGGTTCCCGTAGCTGCAGCAGGGCCCTTCTCACCAAATGCCGCATCAGGTAGAATCGGCTTTGATGCTGCGGGGGGCGGCTTGGTGGATGCGTGAGCCTCAGCATTTCCAAGCTTTGGAGAAGGCCGAGAGGATGGCGAGGCGGACGGTGCAGGAGGTTCTGAAGCTTTTGCCTTGTCACCCGCTGAGCCAAGGCTCGCTTGAGCTGTAAGTGTGGCAGCGGCACTTGCGTTGTTGTGAGAAGAGCGCGCAGTATTCGCAGGCGGATTGGCAGCCGCAAGCGCTGGCAGCGTGTGGTTGATAGCTGGAGATGCTGAGGGTGAGGGCGTGCCCCACGTAGCAGCTGGTTTAGGCACAGCAGAGGCCGACAGCTTGGCGGACGTGAGTCTGGAAGACGACAATATGGGCAGGCCACGACCTGTTGAAGGATACGCGAAAAATACGAAATGTCAGATGTGTGCGGGCTCATCCATTCTCTGGTGCTTTGCCGGCCAGTCAAGCGGCCCGTCACTTCGCGCTGTCGCCACAGCCTTCCGGACTGTCTTTCCAAACGTGGCTACGCTCTCACTGCCGCACGAGCTCAAGCATCAGGCCTACTTACTAGAGCTTTCTCTCGTGAGACTTCCCTTGCTTCCAGTTCCACTGTTTGATATCAGCGAAGAGCCGGTACCGCTTGTGGAAGAGCCTCCTGTGGTGGCATGGGTGAAGGTCGGCGAGCTGGGCGACGCTTTTCCCAGGAAGCGCTTCGTGAGGCTTAACGAGGTGAACTTCTTCCCGGCCGCAGCCGCCGCTGCCACGGCCGATGCAGTGGGAGAAGCAGCGAGAACTGCGGATCCACCACTTGCTTCACTCAGTCTGATTTGTGCCTGCGTCCCGTTCGTGGTCGCCAATCTGCCTCGACCGTCTTGGCTTTCTGTAATTGGCGCTGTCTCGGAGACTACTTTCTCTGCAGGCACAGCACCAAAATCTGCGACTGAATAGCCGACATCTTCTGGGCGCACAGCCTTAGCCTCGGTGCTGTCCCCTGCGCTCGTTGTAGGAGGTGACACATCGATTACGCTCTTAGCGTCCGTCAGGCTCAGTGAGCCCCCTTGATCAGGATGCGACCGTGCCACCTGTGAGGCATCCCTTGGACTTTCGACGCCATCAACAGTCCCAGACTCTTTCGGTGAGCAATCTTCCAGATCGGCGCTGCTGCCCTGCTCCCTGGCCACGGCGTGAGATGCCTCCGCTAGAGGCTCTTCGAGCTTTGGTGAAACATTGCCGAGAGCAGAGGCACTGGTAGACATACTATCTCGTTGATTGTGCTCGTATCCAGAAGGATAGCAATGATTATGATGTCGAGCTAGCCTGAGCTGCGTAGCATACAGCGATGCTGTCAAAACGGCGCGAGACCTGATGTGAAGTTTTTCGCAGCTGGACGCCCAAAGGGCGTGAGAGAATGTGCAGATAAGCTTGTCCTCTTGAGGAGGCTTGGCAACAGCAGGGAATTGAAGGGCGCACTGGCGACGATCTCTTGGGGATCACCACTTCTTCGGCCGTCGCTGTCAAGAAGTATATGACTGACCGCCTCTAGCTGGCTGTGGCAGATTTGGGAGGGAGAGAGGCTTCAAATTATAGGCCGTGAAATCGCGATTGGCTGCATCCTAGCTCGGCTGTACGCACGCACGGTCTGTGCCCCGTCGTTCGGCTTGCTCTGCTCAAACATCGTGATCGGCGGTCGCCTCGCGCGGCGCGAGTCACGCGGGGGGACCCCGCACGCACATGGCTCCTCACGTGATACCTATCAACGCCCTGCTGTTTTGCGCGTACGTTACCGAGAGGTGAGACAGCTTCGCCCGCGGCGTATCGCATCAATCAAGCATCAGCTAGGCGCATCAGCGACGCGGATCCCCGCTGGCTGGCAAAGGAAACGCAGCAGCACCAGCACCAGCAGCAGCAGCAGCAGCAGCAGCTGTCGTGAGTTGCGATCTCGCTGGACGTTGGTTGGTGATTACGCTGAATTCAAACCTTGCCGTCACCACATCAAATTGGTGCCAATCAGAGTCGAAGCTGCAAATGGTCAATGAAGAGCGGATGAAACAGGCGCAAGTCATGGACAGCATTTATATATCATACAACGAAAGTGTATGATATGCTCACGACTACGGAAACGCGCGGGTGGCTTAGATGCTGGACTCACACTGGTGACTGGGCCGGTGCAGGATCCCAGAATACGAAGCGCCTGCCTGCGCTTTGGGCTGCTGCTGGTCTGCCATGGGCGCCGGGCGGGATGTACTTCAAATGGCGAGGTCCGCGGTGGATGCTTTGGGAGTGAATTTACACGCAAGCCTAGCTAAGAGGGCTTCTGTGCTCGCCGCTTACCGCTACTCACGACTTACGACTGTGCTGCTGTGCAGTCGCCACAGCTGATAGATCACTCGATCTCACAACTGCATGCGCTCATGGAGTCTGATTCACGATTGCTGCTGGATGGTTTGATCTTATTGGGCCTGGTGCGGTCAGCCCAACAAAAGCGGTGACTATAGACACGATCGCAAAGCTCGGAGAGTGGCCATATGCCCACGCATGGATTGCGGCGGTGCTCGCAAGGCACATCAAGAACCAGCTAGCTGAACCTATTGATCCTATTCCGCCCAATCAAATGGCGCCAACATCAGCGGCTTCGTTCGAGAGGCGAGGCGTCGCCCGCGCTGTGTGACTCATGACTCCTGAAACCCATGCGACAAGCCAAAGGTTTGTGCGTAGCAGTTTCTGCCAAGCCACGCGAAGCCGTGGGTCGCTATAGCAGGCTCAAGCTACAGCTCACTGTGCTTCGATGCTGCCTGTTGAAAGCACACTTTGTCCTCACCTCGCAACAGCCTCGCCGGCGCGCTGCTAGCCTCTTCTGAAGGACACAACGCTCGCGTGCTGGGTCCATCCGCCCAGCCGTCCACCCAGTCCCGCTCTTGCTGAGCTGACTCAAGACTGCAACTACTGATGCTACTCGCACATCGCACCGCTTCGAGCGGCGATCGGAGCCTGAAATTCGCTCGTGTCTGGAAATAGTACTCAACGTCTACCCTCTTCTGACTCTCGCTCAGCTCAGCATCGATGGCGTTCCTGGAGGCAAAGATTATCGGCGCGATCATATGCAGCGCGACCGTTGGCCAGGAGCCGTCGTGCATGGTGCCACTCACATCGCGAGCCCGACCCTCGACACGCTCCTCATCGTACAGCTCAAGGCTATCTGACACAAGCAGGCTGGCGCGCCTGCATCAGCCTGGTCTGCGCGTGTTCTGCCTCGTACACTGAAGAGATGGTCAAGTCGGAAGGGGCATCTTGGATAAAAGAAGCAGCGGTGGGAGATCGAAGCATCCTCGGCAGCGGCAGTCGAATGAGGCTCGACTGTCTATACAAGAATCGAAATAGAGACTCCCGTCAACAGTCTGCCCGCTACTGGCCCAGTCCGCCTCGACTGAATGCATACCCACTCTCAACGGCACGACCCTTCAGCAGTCCTATTCGGCAGCAGGTCGTTGCGCAAACCTCAGCAAGTCAAGCCTTGTCAACAGCCGGCTCGACTGCGCACTCATCTTCTAGCAACCGCGCGTGTGGCGCGAGTCATGTTAGATCATCAGCGCGTTAGCGGACGATCGCTCGGTGAAGCATGCGAGAGTATTGTGCCGTGGCAGCGGCACATGCAAGGTGTCAAGATGCGGGTTCGCCGTTGACGACTCCTTCCATAAGCTCTGATGCTTCCACACTCTCCAAAAGTGGCGGCAGTCTTGCCTGAGCAGAGAGACACAGTCAGAGTAGCAGAGCACGCGATACCTGCCTTCAGTAACAGGATATCAACGAGAGCAGCAGCATACATGGCGACCTGTGCTCCTGCTGAGCGCGCATCGGGGCCAGGTGCGAACGCTGGTCAAGCTCAACAAAGACTCCAGCGATGCGATGATACCAGCTACTAGTCGTGAGAATGCGCCGATTGGCTCTCGCGGCCGATCGACATGCCAGAGCAAGTTTCACTTCTCAACGCTTCGCGCAGGCCCATAGCCCCTGCTGTCAGGCGAGCGCATTCTTCAGCGGCCGTACTCAACGGACGAGTGTCCTGGCATGGAATAGGTTGGGATGCACAAATGCCGATCGTCATACTTGGAACCAGCCAGTCACCGCCGCCTGGCGTCGAGTGCTAGGTGCATCTAGCGACACGGAACGGGCCCAATGCTGTCCATCAGATGCACGCGCCAGTTTGAACTGTTCAGCAGTCTTCGCCAGCGGCAAGGACAGTAGCAGGCTTGTGCATGGCGCCTCTACGTGTGGTCGAAGAGCAAGTTGATCGAAACCGAGCATCGAAGTGACTTTCCTCCAGCCAAGCGAATGCTTTAAGAAAGCCCCCCCCCAAAGCGAGTCTCCTCTTCCTTCTTCTCCTCATTACGTTTCGCTCAGTTTCTCGTCTCACCAAGACCTTTCCAGCCTTCCAGCTACAGATACTACGCTTACGTACCCCTCAGCTCTCTTCGTCAACATGTCCATGTTCAAGACCATCGTCAACATCTTCCTCCCTCTGGCTTTCGTGCCCAGCCCAGCTGCCACGGACGCCAGACGCGGAGGTGGTGTCTCCCGAGCCGCACCTGCTTCTCCCATCGTTGCTCGCGACAGCGCGATGGGTGAAATCACCGTCCCTCACCCTCCCCTCCCCGTCGTGTTTCGCGCTCCCGACGCAAACACCGACCAAGTCACCCGGGCCCCACTCGCCGAGCCCGTCGTCGCCAACATCAGCGCGACGGGCAAGGTCTTCGCCCGCCCCTTCCCCTTCGCCGTTCCGACCTCGGTCGGACTTCTCACCGCCCGCCGTTTTGCCTTTGGTGAGTGTCGCGCGCGTTTCGGCAGCATTGATGAGGGTAGCCAGAGCGATGGAGCCGGCAATCAGGAGAAGCTAGTCGATGGGCACCATGCTGGAACAAGTGTACGCGACTTCGGGATATACCACTGACCGATCATCCATACTTCTCTCTCTCCCATAGGTCGTGTCCTTGTGCCGACCCTTCCTTTCGCCGCCTTCGCCTTCGCCTTCGC